AAAATCTTATACCGATCCATCTTTGGAAAAATAATTTGATCTATAACCAAAGCATTGTTTAATCAAATTGAATAATAACATTGTTAATAGAAGGAAACGGTATACAAAAATGGATCAGATACGTTTAGTTCGCTGTTTCTGTATAGTACAGAGGTCCTATGGAAGCTACATTGTGGTCTGCAGTTTTTTCATCCCCAATGGAGGTTACCACGAAGGAACAGCACAGAGCAGGTCCTATGGAAGCTCCTAGACAATTTGACCAATGGGAGGTCAACAGTTCATCAAATACGAAAATCAAATACCGATATTGTAGTGTAATGGAAAACCTGAAAAACACAAATAGACGCTAGAACAAACATTGTGACAGAGTGAATGCAGATATGGATATATTATTTGAGATGTTTTATTTTAAATAAATGAAAAACCAATTAAAACTGAATTAACATGTGGTTTTCATACGGAATAAATGATGGCCTTTGTGTGATGCTTGCAAAGAATATCTTTTTCATCCTGCATATACAAAAATAAGACAGTGATTATGTTTGGCACTAATCAGAAAATTATAGATAAATAGCATTGTACATGTTTTTCAATCATAGCTTGAGATCAATCTCATTCGATTATTCTATTGCTAACCAAACAAATTAGAGACTGGAAACTAAATCCCAAAGAAAATCAAACGCTGGATCTCTTTTGAGACAATTTTGTGAAAGATAAAGAAAGGATTTGAGAGCAAACGACGGGCTGACGAAGTGGGAGAAAATCAGAGACTCATGAAGTGAAAAACGAAGAGGAAGGGTAAAGCAAAAAAGACGCGGCCGAAGCAGAGAAACAAACGATGAAAGACGCGTGGTTGGGAAGGGCATAACCGACTTTGCACTGTAGAAAATAGGAAACAGTACGCGGAGCAAAGAAGAAACCGAGGGCAATATCGCCCTTTCACTGCTGGTGAACATTGCCGGGGGAAACTGAGTTTTCGTATATATGATGATATATCTAATTCTTCTCTAGGATGTTCGAAACTCAAATCTCATGAACAGTAACGACGAATAACATAAGTAGCTATTAGAACGTTGGTTGGGCAGCCAAAAAACCCCCAAAACAAAAAGAAGAAAAAAAAATTAAATAACGTAAAAGGATGATTTACAAGGTAAAATAAAATTTTGAGAACTTATAATTTTCTACTTTAATAGTCGATTTTCATCTTCTGATAAAGAAATAAACAAAAACTAAAGAGCTGTTTTCTAGAGAGTTCTTGAGTTAAGTACTATTTGTCTTTTTTCAAAATTATGATTTGACAAGTGTATGTTACTTTTATTTTTTGACAAGTGCATCCTACTGACCTCATATTTGTTATTTAATTGAGAATGGTGAGAGAGTACAACTTTTTTTAGATTATGATTTTTAGGGCTGGAAAAAAATACCAATAATTTCAAACCAAACCGAAAAATTTCCAAAATCGAACTATTTGTAAAAGATGGGTAAAATCAAATTTTAGTAACCAATTATTTTTTTAATCTTTTTAAAATAAAATAAAATTTTGATTACCTTTAAACTATTTGTAAAAGATGGGTAAAATCAAATTTTAGTAACCAATTATTTTTTTAATCTTTTTAAAATAAAATAAAAACTATTAGTTCCAAAGATAATGGTAAACAAACTATATGAAAATACACACACACTCTAGGTGAATCTTTATTAAGTACCACTCGTCGTCTTCTTTTTTACTTTTTCAACATTGTCATCTTGAAAACATAAGGGCAGATTATGGACGTATAGTTGTAAAAGCCACATTTATATCTCATTTTACGTTTTTTGGGAGATGTAATTATGAGTTATGCTTGAATATGAGATATGTAGATTCGGGGTCTCAGTTACTTTTCTCTCTTGAACTAGAGGAGTCCACCTCTTGAAGATGTAAATATATATTGTTATTAACATCTTCCGATGAAGATGAGTATTTTACATACCAGCACTAGAAAGCTTTCCAGTCAACAAGAAATGCAAAATGCTAATTTCAAGATATTTCGCATCTTTTATTGGAAATGCTCTAAGGAATAAGAATGAGGGTAAGTTTGAACCCAAAGCACAGTAAAATAAAATAAAAGACCTTAACTACCAAGTCAATCCACCACTTAAACCTTCGATGTTATTATTGCTCTAAAACAGAAGACCATGACCATTGACTCATTGAGCAAGTTAAAATTCTAAATAGATATAAAATATTAGTCTCCTTTTTCTATATCTCATCTAAACTCTTTGCAATTTCTTGTCCTAAAATTTGATGATATGTAAATCATTCACGGATCACTGATCAAATCATATATGTTGCAGTTATGAACAAAATATATCTCGAAGATAATCTAATAAATAGACAATAAAGCTTTTTTGTACAAGAACACTATGAAAATTAAGTGTAAATAATCTTCATATATACTAAAATGCTATTTTTCTATATGAGATACTAAGGTGGCAAATCAGCCTATTAGGTTGTTAACAAATATCTGTTAACATCTGTTTAATTTGATATCATCGTAATATATAAATGTGATTGGTAGTGGTCCTAATGATGTAACGTGAAATTAAACTAAACAGGTGTTAATAGTTACTTATTAACAACTCAAAATGTTGATTTGCCACCTCTACTAAATACTATTTAGATGGGGAAAGCCAAAAAAAATTATCGTATTTTTTTTATTTCCCTCATTGAAAAAGGCGAAAGTATTACGTTTGGGGTCAAATTTTCTTGAAACTTTTGGATCCCTTTTTGTGTGACAATAATTTACATTCTTCTTGTTGTATACTTACCGACTGGGACTTGTGGACAAGTATGCTTGAATATCATTTATCAAATACTGTTCGTTTTCCTTTTCGAAAGGAAAGGCAGAGCATGCAATCATATATATGAGAGTAGTTTACATGACGCAGTTACAAAGTTATTGTGGTTTTATTTGTACATGATACGACGTTGTAAAGAGAAACTCAGACATATTGTTATATTATTGTCATAGAATGTCATGATAATAGTGTATTCGTGCCATATAAATCCTTTTTTCATATGCAACCCAAAAAATATGTATGTTTGAGTTAGAAACACACCTTCTTTTCATCACTTCACACTTCAAATTTCAATGTCTACATAATTTTCATGCACTTATTGTGTGAAAAGGAGTAAAAAGCATCAATGTCGTTGTTTCAAAGCCAGAATCTGCTCGTCTAATGCTAGTAAGCAAACAAGGAAACAAACCCATTTGAAGAATAATGCTATAAACTAAATACAATGAAAATTAATATATTTCCAATAAGTTAGATGACAAATCAAATTCAACCCTACAAAAACAGTAAACAAAATTGACACAACGATACATATTTAATATGGACCTAACCAAGGACGAAGCCAGAAATCTACATGGATGGGGCATCTTTAAACAACAAAATCACAAATTAAAAAGTTCAAGGATATACTAAACAAAACACTTATATATTAGTCCATAAAATTTTTCATACAACATATCACAATATCCATCGATGTGTTTTTATGTTTTGAAAGCGTTACATAACAACCTTATTACCAATACCATCAAACATCTCTTTCTACAAAAATAACCATGTTATCATTTTTCCATTAGTCTCTCATACAATTTCATTATCGATTTTCATAAATTTTATGACCGAAAATGCTCTTTCAACAATAAAAATAGCACATGAAAAAGTTAATATTAATGCCACGAACAATTGAAAGACTACTTTTTTTTTCCCACACACAAAAATGAGTGGGGGCATCCGCCCCCTCTGAGCCTAAGGTGGCTCCGTACGTGGACCTAACCACTATACAAAATCAAGTGCAGGAGGAGGAAATGATCTATAGGCAACTTAAAAACTTGTACATTGCCATTCTACTTACTAGAAAAAAATCATAAATGTTCCCAAACCACCGTTCGTCGAGATGAATTTTGATGGCTCTGTTAAAAATTCGACCTTGTATGCTTAATATTTATGTAATTAATGATGAATGTTCTAAACCTTTTATGTAATTAATGTTAAAATTCGACCTTGTATGCTTAATATTTGTGTAAGTCGTAAAATAAAATAAAGCTAGGATTTAGTAATGTTTTATGTGATGAGCCTCTTCTTTCTGAAATGGTTTATTATGCACGGCTAAGGCTATCTCAAAGGCAAAATTTTAAACTCAAATTTGACTTATAACATTAAGTATGTGCATTTGAGGAGAAAATGTTGGATTTAGAACTCAAATTTGAGAATGTGGATTGGGAGATGGTTGGTTCCAAAACGCAAATGTTGTTCTTCTTGTTGAAATAACATTTTTCCTTGTAGGTATGAGCTCCACCTTAGATGAAACTCAAATATTAGTTTTAAATTGACTAAAATTTTTATATAGGTTTTAACTTTCCACTGCATTGTAGTGAAAAAGATTGTTATTTGGACTCAAATATAACATTTTAAGTTCAAACCTGCTGATGCATTGGACATGGCCTGATAAATAAATTCGTAATCTTATGATGAAAAAGAGGTTCAAAAAATGATTGCATAACGAGATTTTATTGATACAAAAAGGAAAAAATTTCCATTGCAAAAGGATATATATATAAAAACATCTAAAATGGAAAAAAAAAAATCTTTTAACTAAATCTTAGTTACCAAACAAGGCAAGAACGTTGCTGTATATACTGCATAGTATTATACCAAGGTAAACACAATGTATGTATAGTGTACGACAAGGAGCATTCAATTTGTAGAGGGGAAGGGGTTGGTTAAAAATCTATAAAACAGGAAAGAAAAAGGGAGAAAATACGTGGCGCGAGGTGAGAGGTGGTCAGAAGTAACCGAGGTGGTTCGTGCAAGAGAAGCCACATTAGGCTTAGATTGTGCACTCTCCACTCTCCACAACACACAAGCGCCCAAAAAGGAGCGTCGCTTTAACACTCTCTCCTCGCTATAAAAACCCACCTTCCCTCCCCTCTCTCTCCTCAGCCAACCCACTTTCTCTCAACATTTTTTACCACAAGGCTCGCATCTTTCTCCAAGCAGCCATGGCTCCGACGACGGCGAAGTCCCTACCCAAATCCGGCTCTGAGGACCAGAATCCGACATCCAACGAGATCCGGTACCGGGGTGTCCGGAAGAGGCCTTGGGGACGCTACGCCGCCGAGATCAGAGATCCCGGGAAGAAGACCCGCGTCTGGCTTGGGACCTTCGACACCGCCGAGGAGGCAGCGCGTGCGTACGACAAGGCCGCGCGTGAGTTTCGCGGAGGCAAGGCGAAGACTAACTTCCCCACCCCCTCTGAGCTCCAGCTCGACGCCGTCAACATCGTCAACATGAACAACGCCGCCAAATCAGCGGCGGCGACGAACGTCAGCAACAGTCCCAGCAGCCAGAGCAGCACCGTGGAGTCCTCCTCGCCGCCGCCTCCGCCGCCACTCGACCTCACTCTCAAAAACCCCCGTTTCTCCACCGGCGGCGGCTACTTCACCGCTGCGAGCGGCTTCCGCCCGCTCCCCGTGCCCCGTCCCGTGTTCTTCTTCGACGCCTTCGCACGGGCCGACGGCGCCGCCGCCCTCCAGCTCGCCCGCGAAACTTGCAGGTTCGACCGCCCCGCTCCCATATCCGGCTCGGCCCACAGCGACTCCTCCACGTCCTCGGTCGTCGACTTCGAGCGTAGCTCCCGCAACGTACGGCTCGATCTCGACCTGAACCTCCCAGCCCCCTCGGAAGTCGCCTAAACTCCCGCCGCCCGCCGCCCGCCGCGAAAGATCACCGCTTTTCTTTCTTTCCGGTCCAAATTTGTTCCTTTTTTATGGTAGGAAAAAAAACAAAAAAAACCCCTGTTAGAAAACGAGAAAGCTAGCAACGCTCGAGCTGTCATGTATTTTGAAATTAGCCCCTACATGCAGTTGTATAATGTTAAACTGCTCCACAGCTCCTTGTGTATATACCCAAAGCGAAAAGAAAAAAAACCCACCCGACCTTTTTCTAATTTTCCTTTTTGTTTTTAAGTCCCATCTGAGAAATCTTACTTTTCTCTCTGTTGTTCCGTTCGTAGTTATATGTTCAGAAATCTGCTATGAAATGAAACATTTCATCCTGTATCGTCACTCGATTGTTATTTCGTATTTGCTGTTCGGATCCGAACAACCGTCCAACAAAACCCCTTTTTTATTTCGTGAAATTTTACGTTAGATTTATCTTGTTTGGATAATCTGTGCCGTCGATCCAACAGACATGTCGCCGGCATTGTTTCCCGATTGACAATCCTTGTCGCGCGGCGCGGTTGCGACACCAATAACGTGCGCAGCAGCCGCCTGTTTTCACTATCAGGTGCGCACGTTACAGAAAAATCTCCCCTGCTTCCGTCACTTTCTGGACCCGCTGCCCATTATAATTTTTTATATTTCGAAAACACGGTATACAAAATATCATAATATAAATTGTTAAACTTTTTTTTTTTTTAAAATTATCGAGACTCGATGTATCAGATTTGATGTATCGTCATGTTCTCCCGCAATCTCCACCCATCAATGGAACAAACTTAGTAAATTGGAGAAGAAAATAAATATTTAAAAAATCGAAAATAAATAACTTAAAAAAAGCTGTGACACACGGTGCGGCGTCATGATTAGAAAGCATGGGGCTCTGGCTCCTTCTCCAGTTCTCCCTCTTTTGTCTCACACGGGTGCGCCTCGTGATCTGCGTACCATCGCACGGATACCTGATCAGACGGTGAGATGCGGTGGGTCAGGGTGACTCCGTGAGGGCTCCTTCAGCATAGCGATTCTCGGTTGTTTCAAGCTTTTCTTTGGATTTTATTTAGGAGGCGGCACCGACGGGGAAACCGCTACGTATTTTATGAGGACCGAATCAGAAGCGAGTGGGTCCACGGATGGGGCCCAAGCGGACCGTGTTGACGAGGTACATGTCGGGATTCGTGTTATCGTCGCGTGCATCCTATTCTCACTCACCGTCGAAAGATTTTTTAATGTGAACATCACACAATATGGTACATCTACATCACGTGTCGTTATATAAATGATGAGCGTTATGTAAATAATGAGATATGTGTGTTAAACAGTTAATAACTTAAAAAATAAAATTTTCCACAATTTACATAAAAAAACATAATGTATTACTCGTGTTCCGGTCACAACTAAACATTTCTCCTCACCGTCCAGTAATTACTAATTCTGTTTCGGACTTTTCATTTATTTTCTTTTTCGCCCCGTCAGTTTTCTTCCGATTAAGATTTTGCCCTTTGGTTGTGAAATATTTACATTGGAAGAGCAAAACTAAATATCATTACTTTCCCTTTTGGTGTTTTAGTTAGTTAAGTGCTTAAGCCCAAATAGAAAGAAAAAAGATTGCAACAAAACACTATCCTGTGGATGGAAAACATGATTGGCTGTCAGTACAATCATTATTGAATAATTATGAAAATAACAATAAGAATCTAAAACATGATCAATTATTGTTCTTTCGTTATGAATAATTCTGGTTCATTCACAAATGTCAAATTGAGTTAGTTTCCTTGTTTATTTCAAAATCGATAGACTAACTTGTAAGTGACTCTATTTTCTATCCAACTCGAATCTGTCATGCTAATTGTTACTTTTCTTTTCACACTTTTCTACCTTTTGTTTTTAGAGGTTCAGAATCGACAAACAACAATAAGTTATTTACCAAAAAATGATACTCTTTAAGTAATTATTGCTTTTTCGCCAGTTTAACAAAAGCTAGCCAAAGTGCATTTTCTTATATTTCTATTTCGTCATAATTAACTAAATACCTTCATTTGTAATTGACAATATCTACGTCATACTCTAGCTCATTATGATGATATATAAGTTTTATGTAAGAATTATCAGCTTTGAGCTCTAAATGTTGATGAGTCAATAGTACGAATTATAAATTCTCTACCAATATGAAAAATCGTCTTAACACCATCATTTCTTCTTGTCGCTTTAACAAAATTTCGGTTGAGTGAAATTCTATCTTTGTCTACTTCATCATAACTGAATAGCCTGATCTTGGAAATGAATGTTTGTGTTGTCATATTGGTAATCACTTAAAATCCTTGAACAAATAAATTCTTCGATCGTTAGAGTATTGACAGCGAAAAAAACTTCTTTAACATAAAACGACATTCTCATGTTATTAGTTACTTTGTCCGTTTAACAACAATTGTCCTAGCATATTCTATTTTGTCTGGTTCATCATATTGAATACCTTAAATCGGAACTAACCAAATCTGCGATACTTAACGAGAGTATTTTGACATCATCATTGCTTATTGTCAGTTAACAAAAGTTAGATTGAGCAAATTCCTATCCTTGTGCGCTTCATCATAACAAAAAACCTTGATATCGGACATAAACTCTTGCCTCAAATTGGCTTGCACTTAGAATTGTAAACCAAATAATTTCTTTGTGACAACTGACAACGAAACACAAAATTATTTATTAAACAGGGTTCAGGTCGCTTTAAAGGATGATGAGTTCACAATAAAGAACCACAAATTCTTCGGTAATAACTAGATTGACATGATATACGATTTTTCTCATCGTGTGATCAAATATTGGTTTGTGTGCGTTTCTATCGTTACGTAGTTCATCATAACTAAACACTCTTGTAGATAAACATTTATGCCATCAAATTGTACACCTAATTTTAGAGAAATACAATTACAGCCTAATTTAACTGTCTCAAACTAATTTTCGAATGCATTTTAACTTACCATGGTTATGTATCATCATTACCGATTTCAAAGTTTTTGCATCCACTGTAAGATGTATGAGATGATTAGTATATCTCAGACATATTTTCATATCTTCCTCACTACACCTATGGTGAGTTTAATCACTTGCCTCTAAGCTTATAAGATCAATTTTTTTGTTTTACTTTTAGCTATTATTAAAATATATAATTTAATATCATTACGTAACAATTTTACAGTCTAACAACAAAATAATCGATTAACTCACCGGCATAAAGCGCCGTCTAAAGTACTTATTTAAAAAATCTTCATTCGTATCTTAGGTGTGTTGATAATATTCGTATCTTAGGTGATGCTGAAAGATAATCATAATATTTTTCATAATTCCACAATATATCCGTCTTAGATAAAATTAACTTTTGGGGAACAATTAAAAGGTCCACGTAAGAAAATAGTGCTCTTAGGTGGAGGCGTGGCGGCCGCTTTGGTACGGGCCCACACATCGATCGTGTCGTCTGGAATCCATGAAGTCCACAAGTTTGTCGCTCCCCATGCAGTTGTGCATGACGCTGACACGTAGCGTATCGCGCCCCGCCACGCAAGCCGCCTTCACGTGGGCGGGAAGTACGGACGCTCGCTGCTCTGCGACTGGTGTGGCGGTGACGTGGCCGAAAGTGACACCGACAGCCTACGCGAAGGGAGCGTCGTCGGCGGGAGTTGCGTGGAGGAAACGGTGGGTGGGACCCGCGGGTGATGTTAAGGCTCCGGGGTTAGGTCACGCAAAGTGGGGGCGAGACAGGGTGCCACGTAAACCACCGAAACGTAATAAATGTTAAATTTAAAAAATTAAATTAAAATATGTGGGTTTAGGGTGGCTATTGTTCCTTGTGGGCTGTCAGCTGAGCCAGTTCTCTTTTGTCTATCTTTTTATCAATTTCTATTTTTTCTTCTCGCATACTTTATTTTATATTTTTTTTATAAAAAATTAATATAAGATGTTGACGTAGTTTAAGCATAACCGTTCAACTAGGAGGAAAGAGAAGGGAAGGGAAAGGAAAGGAAAAAAAGAGATGAGAGAATCCCACTCCACGGATATGGGCTCCTTTTTCGACTGGTGGGAGATTTATTTATATTTTTTTTGTGTCAAACAAAGATTCTATTAGATTAAATGTTAGATTTGTCGTCGATAGAGTTTAGGCTTGTCGTCAATGGGGAATAAAAAATACTTTATTGAAAAAACTAAGAGCTGTTTTGGCGTTGCTAAAATTATTTTAATTTTTTTTAAAGCTAGGGCTAAAATTGTGTTTGGTAATGAAAAAAAAAGTGTTTTTTTGTCAAAATCATGGGTTCAAAATAGTAGAAAGCAGAAGCAACTCTACCTTTACTTTTAAAAACATCGTTTTTTTTTCTTTTCACAACATCAACCCCAAACTAGCTCTAAACTATATAATAATTAAATGATGCATGCAGTTTGGAGGTTTGGGCAGTCAAGGTGATGACCTTTTCTCAGTTTGGTGTTTATCTAAGTGGCCATATCCACTTTTAGGATTTTGTAAGCCAAAATATCAAAATTTGAAATAACATACAAACATAGATATTTAGACCGACTCATCTGTTATCTCATCATGTCAGCTCAACTATTTGCTTCTCTCTCTCCTCTCTCTCTCTCTCTCTCTCTCTCTCTATTGGAGTGGGAAAATGGAACAAAAGAATCTCGAATGGCTAACTGAATACTTTAACTAAATTTAATTTTTTTTTGTGTTGATTAGCATAAGTGTTATATGTACTTAGCATCAGAGATTTGAACAATACAGACCAAAAGCACTAGGCCCAATTAGCGATGCAGTCCATGGGCCAAGTTCACTACTCTCTATTGGCTGCTTACCCACAATGCTGAACCAGAACCCCAACCCAAATATATAAAAATAAAAAAGGAACTAAATTATAGGAAAATGGTAACGTACTTTTTTTTTTCTTCACCTTTCACACGTTCTTATTAATTTTGATCTTTATTATTCAATTTATTCAATTTGACAGTTGTATATTAGTAATTAATTAGGATATCGAGTGACGCATAACAAAGTAACAATATTTTATAATTTTCTTTGGGAATATTATATTAACAAAGAAAATATTTGACTTATCACTAGCGGAAGCGATAATTTGGTAGTTTCAAACTTCAATGAGGTTCTCACATATATGTTGAAATGACCTTTGACAATCTACCTGCAACGCGACATAAGCATAAGCATTGCGTGGTTGGTTTATTT